AGAGATTTGGCGGCGGAACGGCCATCCTTGAGGCTTTGCTACGAGAACTATCTCCTCCGCAGACGCTCTCGCTTTGTATCCCAATAAGAATACAGCGATAATTGAAAAATAGCTAGTGCGTAGTCGCCCGCGCGCTTTCTTTTTCTCTCTCCCCAGCCTCCCTACGATACCAAGAGGCCTCTGCAGACGAGAGAGCTACGAGAAGCGAGCGCTGAAAGCGCGAGAATTTTAACGCGTCTCCTCCCCAATTTCCGCTCAGCTTTGCAGTTCCTATGTCAAAACTTTGCTCGCGCTAACAATCCCGCCGACTACGCTGGCTAGTATTGAAACAATACAAGTAATAATAGTATTTTGTGAGTATATTATTATTTATGTAACTAGGATATCTGCAGCAGATGACTGACTGTCTGGCGAATCCTAAATATTCTTTTTACATTGAATGTCTCTTGTTAGTGGCGTTTGTGAATGTGTTTAATTTTGTGTTGAAGACTGTGAGCGGGTTCACAAATCAGTAAGAAGTTTGCTGCCTCGGGGAACCTCAGCGGCCTGGCATGTCTCGAATTAAAAGCACTTAAGGTGATCCATAAACCGCAGTTGTATCTTCACTCAGGCTTTTTATAATCAGCTATCACGTTTCGGTGGTGCCGTAATGTATTGTACTGAAGGCTTGGACAAATAAGGTGTTCAGTAACTTCATCAATTAGCTGTATTGGACGTCTGCATTTGAATCGCCGTCTGCCCAAACCACATTGGCGGTGTCGCCAAGAGGCTCGATGGCGTCATGTCGCTAGAAAAAAGTGACCCTTAAAGGCCCGCCATCATCATTAGTCCGTTTTAGTTAAGTAAATAAATTATCGCTTCAGAATAATACAAGAAACAGCTTAACGAAAGTGCATATGATGCTTTTAGGCTTTTTTATTTAACTGAACATTATGGCTTATTTTGTGAATCTTGGGGGAAAATTGACTTTTGAATTTCCCTCGATTTCCTCTTTTTTTTTTCTATAATTTAGCACAGAGACTCTTCTACCCCGCTCCACTTTTCTAATCGTTCAATTCTTCCTCAGCATCAATTCTCCAACCTGACTGAGGAGTTTTAAAATTCAATGACAACATTTCGACATGATATTGTGATATCCCTTTTTCCTGATAAAAGCGGATAGCTGTGAAATACCTTAAAGACAAGGTGTTTATGTATGGGGATTTTGTCAATCTTGTACCGAAGAGGAAGCCATATTGAGCTTGCCGCACATAATCTGCTGACCCTACCCTCATGTAGATGCGTTTAACGTGTTTTGTCGGTGTAGTTTGATACAGCAAAAAAGTCTAGTAAATTTGTTATTGTTTCGGTGTTATGAAACTGTGTATGGGCACGGCTACATTTGAAATCTTTGTAACATCAGGGCACTTACTCACATAAAATTTGCTTTCGTGGTTTTTCGGCCGATCGATCACCCAAGTAATATAGACAGCCACTTCGAATCATGTGATCACTCTTTCCGTCTCTTTAATACAATAGCTGAATATCTAACCACAGGTGAAAGCACTCAGAAATGTATGTAAGTGGATTACCACTAGCATGGCACGCGTTTAATAGTCATTTTCTCTTTGAGCGGAAGATGCGGTTGATCGCCCATTGACAGCAGCGATATTAAGTACTAAGACTTAATACAGTTGTATGCAACATACACGTAGAAAGAAGAAATGATTAAACGTCAACACAGAAATGTCTGAAATCATCAAACATTCTAAGGTGATTAGGGAGGCTATTTTTCAAAACAAAAATATTTGAAGCAGAGTCCAGAAAGTACATTTTTCGAGTGGGGACCAGACAGAGGTAACACGGCTCTTGCTGAGGGGCCTGGGAACGCAATGTACGCCATCTATTTGCTTGATTACTAGTTCTTTGCGTAGAGCCGCTTATGCACTCATCTGAGTTAATGTCCCTCCTTTCCTGATCATGGGTAACCATCCAAGTTTAAGAATGTCTCTTTTCCGGGACGTATCGTCCCGTGACAAAAGTGGCTGCTGTTGTTGATCGCCACAGGAAAAAATCATCAAAAATCATGCCAGAGGTCAGAACATGTCTTTAACCAGATGTTGGGGTATAACCGCGTAGCTTAAAGACAAATTAACAACATGAGGAAAAATACATAGAAGCCAACAGCTTATAAACGCGTGACTGACCATAACGCAGTATATTCAGTAATCACGTGGGAGAGAGAACCAATCGAACCGACAACACAGGCTAAGTGATCTTGGCGATTATGTGTCTGATTGCCGCCCGCGTGTGGTCACAGCTGCAAATAAGCTATCAGTAAAAAAAGGGGTCAAGGGCGGTGCCATCATTGGGATTATCTTGTTTTTCTTCACAATTGTGCTAGAATTCCATTTCAAGACCTTTGTCTCACAGGAAATGCTTGTAGAGTTAGTATCTGGTGGTCTTTTAGTACCGATTTCATATCAGACATAGGGGGAGATCTTGAAAAAGGGAACCCGTAGGCTATCATGACGATAGCCATTTGTATCATCAGCATCCATGGTGAAAAACATAATTATGAATAGTCTTCCACGTTGTAATAACCACTTTTTTCCTCGCATTATATTTCATTTTAGTGCTATTGAATCAAAATGTCTTTAAAGATTCAAAGTTTTTAACAATTTTGCATGACAGTGTCCTCGTCCTAATTCTTTGTTATTTGTGCGTGTTAGAGATTTGGCGGCGGAACGGCCATCCTTGAGGCTTTGCTACGAGAACTATCTCCTCCGCAGCCGCTCTTGCTTTGTATCCCAATAAGAATACAGCGATAATTTAAAAATAGCTAGTGCGTAGTCCCCCGCGCTTTCTTTTTCTCTTTCCCCAGCCTCCCTACGATACAAAAAGGCCTCTGCGGAGGAGAGAGCTACGAGAAGCGAGCGCTGAAGGCGCGAGAATTTTAACGCGTCTCCTCCCCAATTTCAGCTCAGCTTTGCAGTTCCTATGTCAGAACTTTGCTCGCGCTAACAATCCCGCCGACTGCGCAGACTAGTATTGAAACAATACAAGTAATAATAGCATTTTGTGGGTATATTATTATTTATGTAACTACGATACGTCAGCAGCAGATGACTGACTGTCTGGCGCATCCTAAATATTCTTTTTACATTGAATGTCTCTTGTTAGTGGCGTTTGTGAATGTGTTTTGTGTCGAAGACTGTGAGCGGGTTCGCAAATCAGTAAGAAATTTGTTGCCTCGGGGAACCTCAGTGGCCTGGCTTGTCTTGAATTAAAAGCGGTTAAGGTGATCCATAAACCGCAGTTGTATCTTCACTCAGGCTCTTTATAATCAGCTATCACGTTTCGGTGGTGCCGTAAAGTATTGTACTGAAGGTTTGGACAAATAAGGTGTTCAGTAACTTCATCAATTAGCTGTATTGGGCGTCTGCATTTGAATCGCCGTCTACCCAAACCACATTGTCGGTGTTGCCGAGAGGATCGATGGCGTCATGTCGCTAGAAAAAAGTGACCCTTAAAGGCCCGCCAGCATTATTAGTCCTTTTATAGTTAAGTAAATAAATGATCGCTTCAGAATAATGTAAGAAACAGCTTAACGAAAGTGCATATGATGCTTTTAGGCTTTTTATTTAATTGAACATTATGGCTTATTTTGTGAATCTTGGGGGCAAATTGACTTTTGAATTTCCCTCGATTTTCTTTCTCTCTTTTATTTTTCTATAATGTAGCACATAGACTCTCCTACCCCGCTCCACTTTTCTAATCGTTCAATTCTTCCTCAGCATCAATTCTCCAACCTGATTGAGGAGTTTTAAAATTCAATGACAACATTTCGACACGATATTGTGATATCCCTTTTTCCTGATAAAAGCGGTAGCTGTAAAATACCTTAAAGACAAGGTGTTTATGTATGGGGATTTTGTCAATCTTGTACCGAAGAGAAAGCCATATTGAGCTTGCCGCACACAATCTGCTGACCCTACCCTCATGTAGATGCGTTTAACATGTTTTGTCGGTGTAGTTTGATACAGCAAAAAAGACTACTAAATTTGTTATTGTTTCGGTATTAATGAAACTGTGTATTGGCACGGCTACATTTGAAATCTTTGTAACATCAGGGCACTTACTCACATAAAATTTGCTTTCGTGGTTTTTCGGCCGATCAATCACCTAAGTAATAGAGAGAGCCACTTCGAATCATGTGATCACTCTTTCCGTCTCTTTAATACAATTGCCGAATATCTAACCACAGATGAAAGCACTCAGAAATGCATGTAAGTGGATTACCACTAGCATGGCACGCGTTTAATAGTCATTTTCTCTTTGAGCGGAAGATGCGGTTGATCGCCCATTGACAGCAGCGATATTAAGTACTAAGACTTAATACAGTTGTATGCAACATGGAGCCGACTGACGCAACTTGATATTACTTTTATGTTAGTCCTTAAGTTATTACAGATATATATTTAAAAAAATATATCTGAAACGTTTTGATATGAACGTAATAAAATTAACCAAACTATTTCGACCGGACATCTAAGTCTTCTGTTGGGTCAATTATGAGTGGTTACAAAGCAGCACGTGACCAAAAAAAGGTCATCAAATGAAAGGGTTCATTTTTTAATAATAATAATAAATATAAAAACTATATTGCGCATATACAATAGAAATATTTTCATATGCGCGTAATAGACTATAAGCATTCTCGACCCCAGTGCTTACGTGTTTGGGAATGCGCGCGATCTCTCTCCTCTACATGCGCAGAAGACCTTACCCAGCTCTAACTCTGCTATTCTATTTTTATTCAGTAGGTATTGATATTATTACCTAACGATTAGAGTAGAGGGCGTCCCGACGTGGTATGAAGAGCTTCTATTCTGGTAACGCTAACTTCTTAAACAATAATGATTTCTGAAGTAGATTGGTTTCAAAGCCTTGTTGACGTAATGAACGTCGGCAGGGTCTATTTCTGAAGTCAACTTTGGACGTGCAAATTCTAGCATATCTCACCAGCTGAGATATATAAACACTGTAACCTGGATTGGCGGGAATGTTGCCGCTTTCCATATGAGGAAAGTTGACAATCCGAAATGCAAAGTCATCTCTCTTATATCGCAGATGCTGATACGGAAAGGTGTGTTTATGTCGCCAGTCTTGATATTCGTGTCGAGGTAACACACTTCAGTAGATGATGTGGAAGTGTCCTTAAGTTCCAATTCCGACGGGTAAATAGCGCTGATATAATTTCCAAAGTCCACATTGTTAACACTGAATAAATCCTCGATGTACCGAAAGGTGTTGCTGAACTGGATGGCTTCTGTAATGTCCTGTTTCATTGTTTTGACCATGAAATCGTACTCCAATGTGCGAAGGAAGAGATCACCCAACAAAGGTGCACTGTTGGTGCCCATTGGTACCAATGACCTGCCGGAAAACAGAGCTTCCGAAAAGAAATATTAAAATTACTGATATATATATAGAAAGAAAAGTAATACTAGTAAATCAAAGTTGAAATACAATTAACTAGGTAATAGAATAAAAACCAGTATTTAAACTAACCAAGTAATGCTAATAAAATATAAAAATAACAACTTCCTATTCATAAGCTTGGTTAAAAAGTACTGTTTTCAGTTTTTGCTTAAATGAGGTAAAATCGCTGGTAATTCTTATGTCATAGGGTAAATCATTCCATGGCTTGGAGCAGCTGCCACAAATGAGGCTTTGCCGCCAAGTCCTGTTTTGACACTTAATGGTGACAAGATCAAGATCTCAGGTGGTACAAAGATCTCGTCTTGAAGGTTATCAGATCTGAGAGGTATTATTATGGATAGCTCTGAAAGTAACAGTAGAAAAAAAAATGATGGAATGAACCTTTTTTTCCTCATCTTATCAAATATTGTTGTTGCGTTTGAGACACTTTCATTCCTGGAATGACAAAGAGTTTTCGAATAATACCAAAAATTTCCCTTGCAAATTAAAATAGCCATTAAAATAACATTGCCAGCAAACGTGGTAAATGGTCAAGTTATCATGACCTGCCTGCCTTCTGTCTTGTGAGCTGACCAAGATGGACGGACATGAATCAGAATGTGAATGTGCTCTTTAAAGTTTTCCTTTTTCTCTCCATTATCGATCGCAGCATGTCTTGATCGTCCTGGTTTTTGCCACCTGTTTTATGTAATGACTGAATCAATTGCAAACTTAAAGAGCGTAATATAATAACCAACTCAAAACCTAAATTTCCACGCTGACGGAGGAGATATCAAGACTGAAAGATCTAGTCCCTAGTTGTTTTACATATTATCCTAGTCTTTCTTCTTAAGACTGCCAATTTTAAAAAATGTTTCTCGTCCCGCTATAGAACTCAATATTTAGTAAAAGCTTGGTTTTATGAAATGTAAGGCCTGTTGCGCGGGATTGTAGAATAACTGGTGTTGAAAGTAACGCATGCGCATGTTAGGTTTTGTTCGTTCCAACTTTTCCCGGCTGTAACAAATAATACAAAAAGAGAGGGAGTCGACAAAATAAATAACTACGGTTTTGGTGAGCGGATTCACTGGTTTGGTGTGGACAGATGGCCGATTCGGGCAAAAAAAATATGCGGTTTCAAAAATATTCGGATTCGTGTGAGCGTAGCCTGAGTATTTAACTATTTACAACCAACGTACCTGCTTCTTTGAAAAGTTTTGAGGGCTTTTTTACGCAAAAGTTAACCCGCTTTTTTCTTGACATTTAAGCAACAGATATGCTTGTGTATGTTTTTAGATATCTAAACAGATGTGTAGTCCACACTCTCCCTGTTACGGTTTTAAGCGACTAGGAAGTGAGCTTTTTTTTTTCAGACGATATGAATGCCGTGCTATTGGCGCGTCGAACTCAATAAATTATGAAAATACATACGTTTAGAATTTGGACAATTTGTATTCTAATGCACATGTGTTAATTGGCAGCGGGATTTTGAGCGAGAGTGCGAAACACTGGCTGCAGAAATAGAAAAGAACCCTTAGTGTACAGGTTGCTGTTTCATGAATTTTCTGATGAAGAGCGTGTGTCAAACGCTCTCTACCCAGTACAGATTGCGGGCCAGCCAATTCTACTCTTATACAGCTGTTTCGAGAAAGATGTCGGAAAAAGTGAACGTGGGTAGTTTTGAGTTCACTTTTCTTCAAAGAAATTTGAAAGAATGACACTGGAGGCCATGGATGTATGTTTGCGAGAGCTAAAGGAAAGCAACAAAAGCAGGTCGACAGCTACAGTGTCAGGAACAGTGTATTGATCATATCCCATATTACCTTTCGGGATTGTCGCCTGCACTTTTTTTCCAACAACCTTTCTCGAAATAGCTGTATAATAGTAATCATCTCTACCAAGACGATAGAGACAAATTCTTTTGTTTCTTATCGGCAGAAATAAGATTCCACATCACGTTTATAATAAAGTTTCATACCACTTAAACTGGAAAGTAAGGCCTTTCTGAATCTTACTTAATCTTAATCTTACTGAAAGTGNTGCACTTTTTTTCCAACAACCTTTCTCGAAATAGCTGTATAATAGTAATCATCTCTACCAAGACGATAGAGACAAATTCTTTTGTTTCTTATCGGCAGAAATAAGATTCCACATCACGTTTATAATAAAGTTTCATACCACTTAAACTGGAAAGTAAGGCCTTTCTGAATCTTACTTAATCTTAATCTTACTGAAAGTGTTCCCAAAGTTAATTATTTCACCATCCCTTATGGTGAAATAACGGTGGCAGGATCGAAGGAGAATTTCCAAATTACGCTCAAAATTCACCTTTTCGTACGCTGAACAACAGTTTTGCCTTTATGTGTTATTTGGCGCGACCGAATTAAGTCAGTGGAGGTTTGAAGTAATTGCCGAATCATCGTAGCGTTCATTACCCGCTCTCCTTATCTCAATTAAGTTCAGTATGGCAGCAGGGAAAAGTTTGGAACGGGCCTTTAGAACTTTTAGGCTATACACACAGGAAACATGGACATGGTCTTCCTTGACTCGAAACAGCACCGCTTGGAGTCCTTTGTAATTCATTTGCCAAGTTCAGAGACTACAGTTATCACTTTGAAGGCGGTGCAACCAGATGTCATTTGTCAGGTGGCTTATCAGGCCACTCAGGGTTAGCAAGGTTTTTGAGTGACGTTTTTGATAGTTTCAGGGTACTACACGCCCTTCGATCAGAGATTTTCTGAAATGAATTAATGCACCTATTGAAAGTCAGTTTGCCATTCAGTCAGGCTTGACCGATGATTCACGTTATAGATACCGCAGAGAAAGGTACGTACCAGTGCATTCAGTTATTCTCGTATATAGTTATAGTTTCTATATATTGACTTTTTCTGAGACAGATTTCAATTTAACAGGATTATTTTAATACGAAAAAGAAAAAGACGGTTCCATTCAGTTAAGCTGACTCCTCTGATTCCCTAGAACTACTACAACAAGAACATCACCTTTAATTCATTCAAACATATTTCACGAAGCGAGCCAGCAAAATAAGGATAAAATTTAGCTTAAGTACCGAAGGACTGTGGACACTGAACGTCAAAGTGGAAGCAGACGAGTAGTCCATATGAAGTTTGAAGTGAATATTAGTTTCAGTTCTCGTCATGTACGGCCCACAGACTTTCCTAAGGCGTGTACCTTGGCCCCATCATTTTACCGTGCAAGCTGTGAAAAAAACTTGGACGGTTGAGGTTTTCACACGAGTCCTCGTAAAAGTGGAACCACACCGGTCAGAAATTTTGAGATGCTTCTGATCAGCTCAAAAACTTGCACACTTTGCTTTTTAAAAAAGCTGCGCGGCTCCTGGGTAAACAAAAAGTTGTAAGGACCCGTGGAAACTAGACGTTAGAATTTTGACTGAACAAACTATGGAACTGTATTTTACTGGCGATTTTTTAGCGACTTTGTATCTACTTTGATATAGTTTCCTCGGTTCATTTCCTTTTGTTGTTTTGATAAAAGGAATGGTATTGTAGAGCCGTACGTGCAATCGACATTAGCACGCGGCATTTCGTTTGCATTTTTCTAAATACAAATGTCTTTAGTTATTTACTGATAAAAAGTCGACCATGTAACTTAGCCGAATTAAAAAATCACATTTTACTGAATAAGGTTTCGTTTCACTTGCGATTGTTATTATTACAGTGAAACCTGCATTAAGCGGACACCCTCTAGTAAGCGGACAGTAGCCGAGGTCCCCAAATTTATTTCCCTTATTTACTTTAAATGAAACCTTTATCAAGCGGACACCTGTATTAAGTGGACGCGGACACCTAAAAAGTACCTGAAATGGTCATTTCCATTGTTGCCAACCTGTATTAAACGGACACTTGTAATTAAATTCCACCACCCAACATGCCAGACACCGGAAATGCGAAAGATTGCCACCCACAAATTTTTCGATTTTTTTTTTCAAAATGTGACTTGACGAACTTATTTGATTAGTTTCACAGTACAGTATTGTATTCTATTTCGTTTAGTTTGTATATAGCTTGTTTCACTCATCTGAGTTGTTCAAATTTGAGTTGCAATATATGTTTATGGTACTATGATCAATTGGTCCTCTTTAATAAAGAAATTAATGCAAACGTATTTCGTCATAGTCTCTGGGAGTATTCTAAACGTTTCCACTGTTCATTTGAATGGCATTTGACACCTCATATGACGTTATCTATAGAAACCTGTATTAGGCGGACACCCTGTATTAAGCAGAGACTACAGCATTCCCCGAGGGTGTCCGCTTAATACAGGTTTCACTTTATTCATCCAAGATATCTTCCCCAGAAGAATTCTTAATGATATAACCATCTCGGCGCTGACCAAATTCCCCATTCCAGTAGTTATAATGAGAATGAGATCGTTTGGCGGAGACAAGAGTTAGTAGCTTTTGATTGGTTAATGTTGCCTTGAATACCATCCACCAATCATAACTTACGCTCTAACGTAAACGACCCCAGAAATCACTGCGCCCAGAGCTTGTACCCATTCTCCCTACAGTTTCTAAAGTGGGGAATTTGGGAGAAGGTTGCCGATATCCTCAAAAGATGACGTAAGCCTCATGGATAATTTGCAAGAAAAAAAGGGACAGCAATAGGCGCGGTGGCCTAGGTGGCAGTGTAGGGTGGAAGAGATTTCACATGTCTGAACATTACNAGTTATAATGAGAATGAGATCGTTTGGCGGAGACAAGAGTTAGTAGCTTTTGATTGGTTAATGTTGCCTTGAATACCATCCACCAATCATAACTTACGCTCTAACGTAAACGACCCCAGAAATCACTGCGCCCAGAGCTTGTACCCATTCTCCCTACAGTTTCTAAGGTGGGGAATTTGGCAGAAGGTTGCCGATATCCTCAAAAGATGACGTAAGCCTCATGGATAATTTGCAAGAAAAAAAGGGACAGCAATAGGCGCGGTGGCCTAGATGGCAGTGTAGGGTGGAAGAGATTTCACATGTCTGAACATTACAAAAATTACAGGAATGCAAACATTACAAGAAGAGATATTAGCCTGAGAAAGCAGCCAAATTTCTCTACGTCACCACTGGTTTCCTCGCGAAACGACTTATGAGGAACAAGCGCAGAAATTCCGTATTGGTGACGCGTCACTTTCCGTTTCTGATCGACGACCAATCAGAAGCACTACTAAGAACTGGGTAGTGACACGTCATAAGTATGGATTTCTGCTCTCTTTTCTCAAACGTCATTTCACAGGGAAGCCAGTGGTTACGTCGCAAAATGTCGGGTGTTTTCTCAGAATAATATCTGCTGGAATAAACATCCTTATATATCCTGACACTGCCGAGGGTGTTATCCTCCTCAAACGCTGTTTGATATGAATAATTTTTTCACCTAATACTCATTGCTAATTACTATGATTTCTTGATTTTTGTGTTTCAGATGGCTCGTGGCTCTGTTGTTGTTGCCCTTCTGACGATTTGCCAAGTAAACACGATTGCTTCTGTTCGTAGAAACATCCCGGTAATTACGATATCATGCATGTCTGTGTGTTAACTTTTAAAACAAAGATGTTCTGGTACACTTAGCAGGGTAACAGA